GGGGGGGGTTGGGTTTTTTTTATTTGGGGGGGGTTCTTCTTTTATTTTTGTTTTTTGTGTGATTGTTTTTTTTTTTCTTCTTTATATGCACAGAATTTGTTTTGTTTGTTGTTTTGTTTGTTGTTTTGCCAGCTGTTTTTCTTTTTTTCCTTTATACTTTATAAATTGAGGGTCGTTTCAGTTTTGGATCTGTTTTTTGTTGTTTTTTTAAATTGAGGGCGTCTTTTCTTTCGTTTTCTGATCTGTTTTTCATTGGTTTTTATTCTCTTTTTTCCCCTTCTAGTTAAGCTTTTTAATCTTGAGGAGGAAAACAGTTATCTTTATCGTTCTTTTAAAAAGTCTTTTATATCAGATTTAAAGTTATTTATTTTTCATAATATTCATTTTGCTCTTACGCTTTATCATTGTATGCGTTTTCTGTTGTAAAAATCTGAACGTTGAATCCACACATTGAGCTATTAACACTTTTGTCTTCTCGCCCCTAATACAACCTTTTCTAGCCTTCTGGGTTATAAGAGCAACCAAGGCAACAACTAAAACCCACAATAATTACGTAGAAAATGCACCATTGGGAACGACAATAACAGCAACAACCACAACAACAACAACAACAACGACAGCAGCAACAGCTGGCTGAAGTTATGAAATGTTCAAAATGTATCAAAAAGTCGAAAAAACCATATTTGTCACTGTCAAAACTTGTGCGACAAAAGAGACGAGAGAGTGCGAGAGAGAGAGAGAGAGAGAGAGAGAGAGAAAGAGAGATAGAGAGAGAGAGAGAGGGAGAGAGAGTGGGAGAGAGAGGGGGGAAGGGGAGGGGAGAGACAGAGCTATATACAGAGGTAGAGAGATATGGAAGGAACTCTGAAGAGAACTTGCATATTAAAAGAATGCATACATTTCCGACAGAGAGGCAATGTGCCAATACAGTAGCACCAATCAGAGAAAAACAATACTTGTCTTGTGAAATGAAGGGTCAAGTAATTTTTCTTTTTCTACTTGTTTTTTTCCACACTATTTGTGAGTGTGCCCGGAGAAAGGTCCCAGTTGTAAAAAATTTTGGATTTAGAATAAGGGCATATTCAAGTACCAAATTTAATGTTGACTAGGCTGAATAAAATTTTTTTAAAAACATTTTGAGTTGTCTTAAAGATATGCTACATTTCGTAACACAGGATGTAAAAATAAAGTTTGGAGAAAAATGGCTTTGACATAAGTATGTTAACTAAATTGCGAGCACATTTTTTACCTTTGGTGAAGTACATCATATTGCAAAAATAATTACTCTACAAATATCTAGACTTGGACTTTAAAAGTTATAAAATCCTTTCAAAATGTTATTAAGAAATGTTAAAAGTGTGTTTTCTGTACAGAACTTAATTTTTGACCAGGTACAACATTTTAGGCTTTTTCACCTCATTGCCCAAAAATAACTTTTCTGACAACTGGCACCTTTCTCCAGGCACACACACTTTTGTTTCTCTAAACACTCAGACATGAAAGGGTGCATTGTAAGCTAAGCTGGTATCATGTTGGACTACAAAGCGTTTCCTGGTTCAAATCCCAATGAAGCATTTTGAACTTCTGTTGTTTAGGCAAGCTTTTAAGGCTCTCAACCCATTTTGCCCACTTTTATCAGAGATGTACATTAAATTTGGATGTCCAGCCTCTTTGAATAACTTAAATAGCCATACTGTGTTGAAAGGAGCATTAAACCTTTACAATCTCACCAGTTCTCCGGACAAAAATAATCCACCCCCCCCCCCCCTCCCTGTTCTCTCAAAGATCCAGGAAAAGAGATTTTTGGGTCTTCTCTCATTCTCACCGCATGCACTTCGTTGTGTCTTTTATAAGACAAACTGATTTAACAGCACTTTAAGAGTGCAGGCATATTTTAGGCGGTTTAGGGCTCAGATATGGATTTTTTATTCCTTGCATATTCTGTTAGCAAAAACACTCTTCTTTTGACTCCCATTGTTGGTTATTTTTACCATGCATTCCGACTTTTAAATGTTTTGTTCAAACTGTGTTTCTAATTCTTAATCATTTTAAACATTTATTAAGATATTCTCTTCAAACTTCGCATGTATGTACTTCAACATGTTACACAGGTCGGTGTAGAATTAGATTTGAAGTACATGCTAATATTGCATTTTCATTATATTTTATATGGATCTGTTATTTAGCCACACCCGCCCTTTTCTTTATCATCTGAATTTTGAGTTGCACTGCCACTTTTAAAAAATCATACTGACATATTTAATTCTGTCATTGACCTGTGGCAACATGTGCACTATAAAGGGGACAGTAAAGAAAAATTTCACTTACCATGCAAAATAAAAAAATGATGAAGTCAATTCTACCCTTCCATGACAAGACAAAAAATCAAATACGGCCACCATTTCCATGGCAATAAAAGGGTTTTAGAGAATTTTACATTTGAATTCTTCACAGTGCAACATATAAAGTTTATAAAAGTGACACTCCTAAAGCATTTCTCTCAGTGATATAGAAAATTGATTTAAAAAATAGCCTGCTCACAGTTGTCAAAACTATTGAATTCCCAAACATGAGATGTGTATATTACCAGAAAAGCATTGCTCTAAGCAATTTTCATGAAGTTTTGGAAAAGAACTGTGTTATTGAAAAATCTACCCTTTCCATACTAAATGAAAATAAAGAAAGATACAGACAAAATTAAAATCTCTTACTCTCAAGACAAGTGAGTCCATCCTGGTCCAAGGTATAACCATCATAGCAGCCACAGTCATAAGAACCCACATTGTTGATACACGTTTGCTGACATGTGTTGGGTCCTTGGCACTCATCGATATCTGACAACAGAATTGGAAAATTGTATGGGCAAGTTGTTCAAATGCACTAAGCCCAGAAAGCAACATTTTTTTCAGAAACAGAGAAAACCCTTTCAATATTCTTTTCCAACTCGTAGCTACATTATAATAATAGTATATCATTTTCCTAGCTTTCTTTTCAAGATTTAGGTTTTGAACTCCTATAAATTATTTCACACGTATTTGTAACTGATACAACAGATTAAGAAACTGCAACATAAAATTGACACAATTCAGGTTAGTCAGGATCGGACGTGCATTGCCTGAAATCTACCTGCCAAGGCTGAGTGAAATACATGTAAGAACCTCCCAGCAGACAGACAGTGGTACTAGATACCAAACTTCTGCATGCGGGTATCAAATTCACATCTTTAACTTGCAAGTGCAAAAAGCTTTACCACTACATCACAGATATCTGTGGGAATAGATGTGCTACCACCAAAGATTACACATTACAAGATGGTTCATCCCACTTTTTGAGAGAGTTAGAAAACAAAATCGTCAGGAAATGCTGGAAGCAGCACATGTTGCTTACTACCAGGCTGTTTGAGGCTATTTTGTAGTGAATGACGAATATTGGGCATTGAGAGTGGGAACAAATTTTTATATTGTTAAAAAGAATCTACTAATTTGAAAAACAAAATGCAGCACATTATGGCAAAAGTTAATTTGAGCCTCCCCCAAACCCCCACCCCTTATGCACACTTAAAATATCAAATGCTCTTTTTGTGCATGAAGCAATCACAATGACAATTGGTCTCACAAAGAGTGGGGACTTCGGATGTGCATATTAGTTTGGGACATTTTGAATGGGGTCTCAAGTTCACCTTTTATCAACGTAGGTGGCGATATCTCAAAGAGTTGCCAAGAATGCTTTTTTTTTGGAGAGTTGACCATCTTGTTTGGTTATATATCTGTCTTTGATTACACCTGGAATGCTTTAAAAAATGTTATTCTACTTTATCGTAAAGACTTTTGTATAGAGTACTGGTATCATCAATGACAAAACCAAGTACTCCTATCAAAGTCATGCAGTATTTCCAATGTGGTTCAGTCCCAGCAGAATTTGATTTCGGATTTTTTTTTCAAGCTAAAAAATCCCCAAAAGAGCAAAAAGTCACCATTAAAAATAAGAAGTGCCAATAGCTTATGCAATAGACTAATCATATCAAAAACATTGTTAGAAGCAAATTCTTTATGCTTTTATTCAAGAGACTAATTTCCTTTTTCAGGAACAATAACATTTGTTACGAAGACTATTTCATTTCTATAGAAAAACTACTGCTCTCAATAAATACAGAGAGAATTGAGTTTAAATAAATGAGTACAGAATGCCAAAACAAAAGTGTAAATTTTCAGAGCAATAAAAAATGAAAACAAATACTTACCAGCATATCACTTTAAGATCAACAGACTAAACAATAACAATTCCGAAGATAATGGCAATGAATTCCTTGAAGAAAATAAACCTTACCTGAGCAAGAGACGTCCTGGAACAATCTGTATCCTGAACTACAGGAGCATTCAAATGAGCCAAAGGTATTTACACAAATTCCATCACATACATTACGAGCACATTCGTTATCATCTGGGGATTTAAAACAGAACATGATAATGATAAAGAGAAATAACTTCTTGTAAAATCGTGAATTATGTTACAAAGTATGAGATTGTACAATTGTCCCTCAAAATAAGAAGTGGGCAAATTACTGCCAAATCTGGGCTGTGTGGTAATTTCAGTCTGGCCCAGTAACTAAAAATGAATGTGCTCTGCCCTGCAGTGAGTTGATAATAAATAGAAAGAAAACCGTCTGTCTCGAAAATGAAAATGAACAGTTTCCAGGCCAGCAGATAGCAATAGGACTAATATTTTATTCAATGAAATCCTTTTGAGTGATGTGATATGCTCTTTTGTCAATTTTAGTCTCACTTTTGAGAGCCAGGGTATTTTAATCGATTTCATCCAATTTTCTTCTGCTTTGGCCCATGAGATATTCTGAATCTATTAATCTGGCCCGCTACTAGGACACACATGTCCATGACTGCTTTAAACTATCTCTTGCACCCCCTCCCTTTCCAACTATATTTTGGATCATCTCCTTCTAGATAGCATGTCCTGTTGGGAGCATCACCTATCACCATAGCTGTGTCCAACTCCTTGCCACCACAGGCTTCCATCTTTTCTGGTCTCTGCTCTGATGAATTACTTTATAAAGATCATCTATTTGGGGGATATTGGGAGTGGTAGCACTTTTTGTGAGAGGCAGATACATCCAAAGGGTGGCCAGGGTCCAGTGGTCCATCTCTCTATCCCTTGTCCCTAGTTTACACTGGCTACAAGAAGAAGAAGGAAACCTCAGCCACACCCTGGGCAACAGTCTTGGGTGATCAGCAATACAACATGAGTGACACTAGAAGTCCTGGTAAGCAAAGCAGGGGATGAGTGAAGTCAAGAGACAACAGTTTCAGGAATGGTGTGTTTAGCTTCTCTTTAGGCTGAAGACTCCTTACGAACAATGGCTACGGCTCCCATGTACACTGCTACTCCAGAATACAATGACAGACCACTGGTTGTATTTTTCTTGTCACGTTGAGACCATGGCCTTTTTATCCTAAACACCCCCCCCCCCCCCCAGGTGCTTTCAGCCTTGCTGAAACTCCTCTTTGATTGCTCAAATATTCAGAGAAGTCTCCATCATATTTTCCGGCATCTTCCGCACATTTTACATGAACGTGTCTTTTTATATTGTAATGCCCTTTTCCAAAGTTTTAAGACCATTTATAAGTAAGTATACTGCTTCATTTTCCTTGTTCTGATGGTGTCAAAGAGCTCATTTTGTTTTTTTGAGACTCAGGATGTTTGGTTTTAAGTGCCCTTTGAGGCACCTTTATCAGTCTTCTACAGCTCTTTGGCTCAAACAAGTTTGCCATTTCTTCTGTATTGTTCAGTACGAATCATTCACATCTCTGGGGAACAACAGTGAATAACAATCATCATCATCATCGTAAAGGGCCAGATCTGAAACAGACATTGGCGATCATGGTTTGCCACTCATTTCTTTGCTCGGATGATCTCTCCCCATGACCCATCTGCTAAGATGTTCTAAGTGAGTTGCTCTGGGACATTTGTCTTTTATTTTTCTAGAGAGAGCAAGATGTTTAAGGCCTTTAATTTTTTTTGACCCAAAGACAAACATTTTTAATGAATACGCAGTCATCCCAAACACTAAGTTTACAGAGCATAAAGATGCAGAAACGGGTGTTTCTTTCGTGAACTCCATTGTGTTTAATACAGAGCACAAACCATCTTTTGTTTCTTACACCATTAAAGGATTATAAAATTCCAATGGATAGGTTAACAGAGGACAAGTTAAAGAATGTGTATTGCTTTTATAGCTGAAGCCAATGTCTTAGCTGCTAGATGTTAATGTCAATTACTTTCTTTTCAACCCTTGCAGAGAGAAAAAGTAAGGCAGACAGACAAAAACAATCAAGGGAAAGAAAGGAAATATGATCTACAACAAGTCGCACCCTCCAACCACCCATATTTAACACTTTGCACTCAGACAGCCAGCAGTATAAAATACCCCATCTGGTCACCCAGCCAGGAGAGTGACAGCAACGGGACTTCTCAGGCCTGGCATAGAACTGTGACAGGTGACTGAAACGGATAATTTTCATAATGCGCCAGGTGACCACAAAGTGTTAAGATCTTGAGGCATTTCAGACTCAAAGGGTTTAGTAACAAACCTTCACATTTGTCACCAACAAGTAGAAGACCATCACCACATGGCCCGCATGTGTAGGGAGGCTCTCCAAACTCTTGTAAAGGTGCTAGAGTGTCATTACATTCTCTACCAGTACTGCAAGGGTTTTCTGCACATCCATCCCTGTCCAATTCACATTCATCACCTGAAACGAAAAAAAAACCCCACTTAATCCTTTTCATTCTGCTTTTAAGATCACATTTCAGCACAAGGGGAAAATCATAGTGCCTTCTTCTTCTTTTCCTTCCCCTTCTTGATCTCAAGGGTCATTGACTGCTGGTTCTTCAACCTGCAGTGCAACTGATTTTTACGTATGTGACCGTTTTTCCTACTTTGTAGGGCTCCTTGCCTTCAGGAAGCCACATTCCAATTTCGAAGGTACTCAATATGTGTTTATACTGACTAAAGTATTTTCAAATTTGGTAGGAATCAATTCTAAATTTTGCCCTAGTGGCGGTCGAAGCCTAGTCTTACCGATTTTAGGACCACCAAGGGATCTTTAATGTGCATAAATTGAACATGGGGCTTCAGAAATTTTTCACCCTTATCCAAGAAGGCTAGAATCTAATTTTACTGATCCTAAAATCAGGGGAGTGGCTGCTGAAAGACAGCAGTAAGAAGGACCCAGGAGTAGCAGTAGAAAGAAGAGTAAAGTATAGAGCAGCCCAGGAGATGCCAGTGTGGGGCGAAAAAAGGAGATGAATGCAGATAACAGATCAGGACTAGGGGAGCAGAAGAACAGGAAAAGAAGTGAAACAAGAAAATTTTGGAGGAGAAAATTGTTTTTGTCGCTGTCAGATTTCAATCCTACAACCTTCTGAATGAGAGGCAAACACTGTACCTCTAGACCACGAAAGCCCTTGAAAGTTGTGAGACCTTGAGCAATTTTTTAAATGTGAAGCAGCCTGGTGAAATCAGGCACTCATCAAAATAATGAAAGTAAAAAAACTGGCTTTTTTCTACAGGTTTGGGAATTTTTACAGAGTTTTTGTTTTTAGGCTCAACACCTTTCTTGCCCTTTAAAGAACACGTTTCTGTGTGGATTTTACTGAAAAACTTTGATTAAAGGCATTAAGATATAAATTCTCAGTTTGCACAGACTCTCAAGCTAAGGAAATAACTCACTTTCGATGGTCATTCTCTCGCTAATTTTACTTCTGAAACCACTGACCCCCACCTCCATCAATAGCCAATATCTTGATTTGTATCCAAGATAAATAGATATTTTTTTCATCGAAAGCAAAGCAAATGGACAGGCTTTAAGATTTCATCAGTTACTCAATATGTCCCAAAATTGACAAGCGCCTGATTCCACCGCATTGTGACACAAATTGTTTTCCACACAAGATAAGATACTATCCTTATATTTATTATCGTGTGTGTGTGTGTGTGTGTGTGTGTGTGTGTGTGTGTGTGTGTGTGTGTGTGTGTGTGTGTGTGTGTGTGTGTGTGTGTGTGTGAGAGAGAGAGAGAAAGAGAGACAGAGAGAGAGAGAGAGAAAGAGAGAGAGAGAGAGAGAGAGAGAGAGAGAGAGAGAGAGAGAGAGAGGAGAAAGAGAAAGAGAGAGAGAGAGAGAGAGAGAGAGAGAGAGAGAGAGAGAGAGAGAGAGAGAGAGGGGATCAACTGGCTGCCTTTGAGCAGGTTATACGTTAAGTCTTGATTTGAAGACTAAACAAGAGCTCAGCAGCCTCCCAGGAGCTATGGACATGTACTGTATGCGATGAGACTAACAACAAAAAGCAAAATGAAAAGCAACATATTTGCAGTGTTTCCTGCTTTTTAAACATCTCAGTTAATAAGTTGTTGAGACGTTTGCAATGAAAACTTTTTCAAAACCAGCAACTTTTCCCAAAAATCTACTCAATTGTTCTTTTCAACAAAAAGTTCCCTCTCAATTTAGATTTACACTTAGGGGGCTCTCATGGCCTTGAGTTCAAGGTGTTCGCCTCTCATTCAAAGGTCCCGGATTTGAGTTCGGGTAGTGAAATAAAAATGTTCTCTTCTAAAACTGTCTCCTTTAACCTCCTTTACTGCTCTCTAGCAATGTTCTATCGTCTACTTTCATCTCCATTTTCTGCCCCCACCCCCTCACCACCTTTACCCTTCCTCTGGGCTCCTGACTCTTTTGGCAGCCTTTCTAATGCTACTTCTTGGCTCCTTCTTACCGTTGTCTTTCAACCACATCCCTGATCTTCTGGTAGGAAAGATTAGGAAAGATCTACACCTAGCCTTCTCGGACAAGGGCAAAAAATCTTGGAGGTCCCATGTGCAAGTAGCACACGTTAAAGATCCCTGGTGGTCTAAAATTGATAAGTGGGCTTCGGCAGCCACTTGGGCAAAATTCAAAAATTTTCTTCCCACTGAAAACACTCATACGACCTTATGCAGTTGCGAGCCTCGTAAATCACTTACCAAAGTTTTTTTTTTTTTAAATGCACACTTCCTTTATCATTGAATTTACCTGAAGATTCTGGTTGTAAAGCTATTCATTATTCCTTTCTTTAATCGAGAAAATATCTTTGATTTTCACAGATAACTTATTTCACTCACCTGTGTAGGCCGCTTCGCAAACGCAGACATACTTTCGGAAGCTTCCCTCAGCATCTTCTGCCTCCCTCAATTGAAGTCTATCACAAACTCCTTTTTCACTGCACAAAGTGCAAAGAGCAACCTTGACTGTGAGAACAGCAGACTGGCCCCCAGCCTCATCCTTTGCTACAAACCTGCAATTCATTATAAGTAATTATTTCTATTTTAGCAGGGTTTTGTTAAAGTAAGACACCCTATTAGGCATAATATTAATGATTTCAAAGGTATGCTCATACCATGCATGCTTTACCAGTTCAGTCAGACAAAGGATTAGTATAATATTCAAGGAAAGCAGAGAAAATAAAATCCCTGCTTAGACTTGATTTTATAAAAATTGCAGGTGTTGGCAAAATTTTACTTGTCTACAGAAAAACAGACAGCTGAAAGGCAAAGTATGAAAGGCATTTAAAAAAAGGTGTGGGTTCTGGATATCATTACACAAATTGCTTTTAATACAACTACAGCTCCCATGCCAAAATGCATTTGCTTGAAAGAACAAAGCAATAGTGTGGGTACAGAGTTAGAAATGTGACAAGACAAACCATTTTTCTGTACAAGTCAAACAATTTTTTCAGTACAAGTTTATGTTAAGCACAGTTTAGAAACAAAAAAGTAGATCCACAAACAGTACACTCGCAACTGATTGAAATATTGCAAAGAGTACAAGAAAATCCCCAGCAAACAAATCGGAGACTACATAATTATCCGATAGACAAATATTTAAGACTCTACACCTAAGGATGAATGATAAAGGCATTCAAACATAGTTGACTGCAATAGCATTTTATGCATTCATAGACAGTTCAGATCATTTTATTGACTTATTTAAACTACAGTGGAAACCATTACAACAGGCCCGGTAATAACAGGGATCTGTTAATAACAGGTTGTTTTTTTTCCCCGTTTTTTTTCTACTCTTTGTCTCTATTGAAAGTTATCGGCAATAACAGGGCCTCATCGGAGCCCATTCGATTATAGCAGGGACAAAGGCTTGTTAACAATGTGTAAAAAGTGAGAGAGAGACAGAGAGAGAGAGAGAGAGAGAGAGAGAGAGAGAGAGAGAGAGAGAGAGAGAGAGAGAGAGAGAGAGAGAGAGAGAGAGAGAGAGAGAGAGAGAGAGAGAGAGAGAGAGAGAGAGAGAGAGAGAGCAAGCCCACAGAAGCCATGCCACTGCAAGCACACGCAGCGATGTGCTGCAAACCTTGATCTAGCCCGAAACCTAGCAACATGCATGCGTAATGTGTCATGCGCAGGCCTGTCGTATGGCCAAATCTGGTCGTGTGCAAAGCTTGTTTTCGCAGTTCACAGCACACAGGCATGAGCCACACCACACTGTGACTGTTCACTAACAACAGTACATGTGTAGATCTAAGATTAATGCACTCTGTGGACGACCGATCGGCCTAGATCGAAGCCTACTTCTTTCATTGTGGCCACCAACGATGTCAAGCGCAAGAGAAAATGCTTTTCAATTGACAAAATATACTAAATAATCCAGGCTGTTGACAAAAAGCAAGCTCCCCTGGCAGAGATTTGTCATCAGTTCGACATTCCATGTGGTATAAGGAGGCAAGGAGAAATTGTTGGTGCCAAAACCCCTGTTCGTGGGTTCTTGTGGCAAGGGAAACTACCCATGAATAAGTACTGCTGGATTAGTCCACAACTGCTTACTTTTCTTGCATTTCTGATTTAATAGGGATTGGATATAAAGACTTTTTTTTATACTCCCACCATCCCTGTTATATCAGGTTTCCACTGTACTTTCCTTTTGTTGATTAACTGAAGGGTATAGGTCTGCTCCTTTCAGGCACATATAATACTTAGAAGTTGTTCCCTCAAAACTATATAATATAAGATACATTTATAAGAATTACTATTTTAAAATGATCTGTCAACCAATATTAACCCACTCCCTCTGTCTCTCTATTCTATCATCCACTAAAGCCTGTAACAAAACAAAACCCCCAAAACAAACAAACCAAGACTTGCTTTTGCTTATTTGATTTCTAGTAGCTTTAATTAAAAGCTTTGCTCAACATTTTAACGAATAGAGGACAGGTCATTCTCCTTTAACCACTATTAGTAATTAGCGCTTGATAGATACTCCCTAATATGTCAGATACCTACTGTTTATATTGTATTTTAAAAAATGCACAATTTATGCCAGTTACCTGAGAGCGACAGGGTTATCAGCACTGAATGCAAAAGAGACAGATCCAATCGGGCTACCAATGGAACTGGGAAACTGATCTGTAAGTGACTCTATAGTCAAAACCTCTCTATCAGGGTCACTTGCGAACATAAAAATTGTCACTGGTTTTCCATCTTCCGCAAATAAGTATCCATCAGAAGTCAGAGGAGAGAAAATCCTTAGATTTGGAGCCGTGTTTCCTGTAAGAAAAAAGACAAAAAACAAAACAGAATTCAATTTCTACCAAAAATTCAAGACTTCTATCTTAAGGAAAACCCAGTAAAAATAATTTGTGAGAAAAATTCTTCAGAAAAAGCTATGCTTCAGACAGACAGACAAACAGACCAATAGAGCGATATGAGAAAAAAAAGTCATATTACATATTATATAACGTAGTCAAGATCATATAAAAAGAAGAGACTTAAGACACTGCCTTACTTTTAATTAGTTTATTATGTTTTGGGTAGAAGACCTTCACTAAAAAATTGACTAGAACTGTAATAAAGTGTACTCAGTCATTCTCCCTGAAAACTGTTCCAACCCAAAAATTGAAGAAACTATAGGACCTACATAAAAAACTGCAGCTTCGAAGCTCTCACAGACGGGCTCATTAGGTACAGAGTTGCTTGCTGATTAAGAGACAGCAGTCAGTTCATTTTAACGGCTTTTGAAAATAAGGTGAAATTCACTATCAGTGAGACAATACGGAGAAGTCCAAAAGCAGAAGCTAAATGATGAAAATGAGACCCTTGTGGGACCACAAGATGACCAAGTCACTACAAAGTAGTCAAACCTGTGTAAGATAGCCACCCACTTTCGAGGAGAAAAGTGGTCATCTTAGACAGGAGGCCGTATTAAGCAGGACTGATCAAAATGAAGAAAATAAACCATTCCCTTCTAAGATTTCAACAGTAGGTGGTCGCAGGCTTAGGGCTACTGTTGGGCTAATGGAAATTGAATTTTTAAAAAGGGGGATAGAGTGTGTTTTCTTTTTTTCTTTTTCGCTGGTTTTGTACAGGGGTAAAACAAAATGAAAGGTGTCAGTGGAAGAAGACCAAATAAAGAAAACAAGTTAACGCCTTGCCACCACTCAGAAAAAGAGCGACACTTCTCTCTCAAGTTAATGTTGATGTCCATTGTTGCCGACTGGGTAAACAGAGCAACTTCTCATCTCACTTATGATTTGTGTATAAGTTGCCGGCAGAGCTTACAGGTTATGACGGATCACAAGAGTCCCTGACCAGCAGCTGCTGAAAATTTGTTACCTATAGATCAATTCCGGAAAACAAAGGGAGGGACCATCGTAACAGGATCAGTTCATCCATTTTTGGACTAACAATAACGACAGGGGAATATGGATTATGACAGCTTGGCCGAAACAGCATGGACCAGTTTATTAATGATGGTAGGCCTTGCTACTTGGGTCATGTTAACATCAAACTTGAACTTGAATCAGGAACTTAGGAATCTTGTATGAAGTCAAACACAACCAAGCAATTTATTTTTGGTAAATATCATCATCATTGCCTTTCTCACCAGAAACCAGGGTATAGGCTACGGACAAACACATTCCACCTTTCTCTATCTTGGGCTAACCTCTTGATGTTGTTCCATGTCTTCCCACTTTTCGGTACATCAATTTCTGAGATTCTTCTCCGCGTTCCATGTGGTATTCCCCTTGACCTTTTACCCTGTGGATTCCAATCCAACACTTTCGTAGTTATGCAGCTGTCTGACTTCCTGAGATTATGTCCAATCCATTGCCACCACCTTCTTCCTACCTCATCTCTGACTAGGATCTGTCTTGTGTTCCTTAACACTTCCTCGTTGGTGACCCTGTCCATCCATCTGATCCTCAGTAACTTTCTTAGACACTTGTTCAAGAAAACCTGGATCCTCTTTCTGCAAGTCTGGGATGTGTTCCATGTCTCACATCCATACAACAGGACTTATTTCACATTTGAATTGAAAATTCTCCTCTTTGTTCGAAGTGAGATATCTCTGGTCTTCTAAATCCTATACCAGAGATATGAAGGCAGCCTGTGCTTTTCCAAAGCGGGACTTTATTTCAGCACCTGTTCCTCCCTCTCAGTCAATTATACTCCCAAAATATCAGAGGATTCAACGTCTTCTTGTGCATTTCCTTCTATTGTCACCTACTCTTTTCATAGTGCATCTGTCCTTAGGACCTTTTACTTTCCGGCGTGTATAGACTCTTGACAAGCTGTTTAAGGGGGGGGGGGGGCCTACACCCCCAAAATCAAAATTCGACTCAAAATCATGGAATTTGAGTTGTAGGCATTTTTAGCTTCCCCAGCCTCTCCTACAACTATTTCATGGCATAAGAACCCCCAAAAACCGTATTTTTTCCCATACCGGGCATGTTTGTAACCGCCATTTCCTCATAAAGTTAGTATTTTATTTTTCTTTATCGGTCGTTTTCTCAAAATGCGACTTTTCTCTATACTATTTTGAATAACTCCACCATTTTTCATCCAATCTTCATGAAATTTTCACAGAATGAAGAGAAGAGGTAATACTAAAAATGTGTCTGTTGAATTTTTGATATATGGAATAGATTTTGGTTGGTGATGTCTGGAGTGTGGATTTTCACGGATTTTTCGCAAACTTGAATGCAACCTCAGGAAAAAATTCATAAAAATTTTTCTAATTCGATTAGGAAAAAAACAACAGACAAATTTTTAGATATAATGTTTGTGAACATGCATGCAAAAAAATGATTAATTTCCATGAGCGATAAGTGCGGTATTCATTACGTAAGACATGTCAATAAAATCCAATATGGCGGCATATCCATGGAAAGGAAACTTTTTTCTCAAATTTGATTACGGATTTTAAGACTCCTTACTGTGCTTGTTATATGTGTGAAATTTGGTAAAATTCGGTCCAGTAATAAGCGAGATAGCCTCCAGGTGTAGCACCCCCCCTTAATACTGAAGTCTTTGCTTGCATCTGTTCCTGGGTGTGCGACTGAAGCACCAAGTCGTCTGCAAAATCCAGATCGTCCAACTGTGTCCCTGGGGTCCACTGTATACCATTGCTATGTCCTCTGATGGTTTCCTTCATTAGCCAATTGACGGCCAATATGAAGAGGAAAGGTGATAATAAACATTCCTGTCTGTCTCACACCAGTCTTGATGTCAAAGCTGTCAGTGAGCTGGCCATCATGTACAACCCTGCAATTTGTCTCTTCGTACATGCTCTTGATGAGGTTCACCAACTTCTGTGGGATTCCGTGATGTCTCATTATTATCAATAATGTTGCTCAGTCTATACAGTCAAAAGCCTCTGATGATCAGGTGGGAGTTCCACTCCAGGGACAGTTTAACAATAATCCTCAGTGTGGCAATCTGGTCAGTGGTTCAGCAATTTTTCCGGAAATTAGTTTGTTCATCCCATAGTCTTGGATCAATTATAGTCTTGATTCTCTCTAGAATGATTCGTTGAAGACCCTACCTGGTATTGAGAGAAGAGTGATCCCTCTGTAGTTGCTGCAGTTGCTGAGAACCCCATTTTTTTAAAGCTTCACGAGATATCCTTCTTTCCAACCCTATGGGAACTTGCTCTCATTCCAGATCCTGGTAAACAGTGGGAGGAGGAGGTCTGCCGTCACATTAGCATCTGCTTCTAGGGCCTCAGGTGGAATCTGATCAGGACCGGCCACTTTATCTTTGTCCAGCTTTTAATGGCATCCAGAATAATCTATTGTTTTGAAGGAGCATCACAGCAGATTGGTAACTTATTTCTTGTTAGCAGGATGTTTGATGGATTAATCGGTGGTGGTCTGTTCAGGAGACTGTTGAAATGCTCTACCTATGAGCTTCCTTTCCAAAAATGGTTTTCCCCTATTGGTTCTTTTCTGGTACTTCAGGTTTCCCATATTCTCCAGCAAGAGTGTAGTCTGATAAAGGACTCACATGTGCCCTCCTAACACTGCTTCCTCTATTTTCTCTGCCAGTTTGTTCATGAATTCCTCCTTGTCTTTTCTTAGTGATTTCTTGACATCCTTAGCCGTAGTCCTGTACTGCTCCAATGCATCCGTTCTTGATTCTCTTGTTCTAAACTTGCATTCGCTTCTGCCTTCAGTTGTCTAATAATCCTAATTAAATCCAACAAGTGTTGTCTAATCCACTCCTTGTGCTCCCATTTCTTCGTACTGAGTACTTCTTATTCGACAGCTGCTCCGTCAGTGAGGAATTCCTTCCCACTGCATTTTAGAGAGCAGCCTACTTAGACTGCATTTAAATCTGGTCTGAAAACACATGTATTACAATCTCATTTTACTAACTGGTTTTATTTTTTTTCCAAAAACAAGTGTGATCAGTAATCATAGTGATTGTCTTTTTGTGTATGTGTGTTCTTCGTCAGATTGCGAGAGTATATATAGAGTATTTGAAAGAACTGTTGTACATTGAATGGGCAAGTATGCACGAAAGGTTGATTTAAATCTTATATTATTACGAGGCGCCTAGAGTATGCGCTTCAGAACTGATCTATCATAAATATTCTTCTTCTTCTTCTTCTTCTTCTTCTACTTCTTCTTCTTCTTCTTCTTCTTCTTCTTCTTCTTCTTCTTCTTCTTCTTCTTTTTCTTCTTGTTATTGTTATTATTATTATCATAATTATTATTGTTATTATTGGATAGATGAGTGACAACAAAGTTCTTGAAAGACATTTTGGCATCACTAGGTGTCCATCTCTAGCCTAAACACCCATGTGAAAGCCCACCAGCACAAGACAGGTGGAGAACAAGATAAAGCATGATGCATACACAAAACCCATTCTCATTTTTTTTAAAACAACCTCTGCTCCATTCTTTATTACCAATAAGACCTTGGTCTGAACTGGCCATGGATCTGTTCAACATGGTCAGACCTATTTAGCTGTCATAAATCATTTTTCTTTGTGAAAGAGCTGCATACACTTGAAAACCTCATCAGTGTTTCTGTGCTCTGCAAATAAATTCAAGTCCATCTATGTGATTCATGTGATCCCAGATACTGTCCAATCTGACAACAGGTCTAGATTTTCAATTTCTAGCTTCCTTGCTTTTATCAAAGAATTCCATATCATCCACATCACCAGCTCACCAAGATATCCTTCAAGCAAAATCAAGGAGACCATGCAAATGGGGAAACAACTCCTCAACAGCGCAATAGATCCTTACACTGGCCTTTAACTGTATCAGTCTACTCTGTAGCAAAATGAATATTCCCAGATGAGCACCATATGAAAAAGAGACTTCAAACATTAATTCCCACTTTTTCAAGACAACCTGAAACCAAGGCCAGTAGATTTTAATGTTCATCAGTGACAGAACAAGAAGAAAGATGTCCTGTGGTACCAATACTTCAAAGATGGGCTGCAAAAATCCACTTCTAAACTTTGCTCTTGTCAATCTGTCTACATTACAGATACGGTAACTGTGTGTGACGTCAAGGGACATGACTCTTTTCTTTACTATGGGGACAAGATAATTAAAGGAGTAGCAAGCCCTTGGATGACGTCAGATTGAGCCGCGGGAAATAGGCAGATGTTGTCTGAGAGACACTCACTGAGAGATTCAGTCGGACACAGGACGAGACACCTACAACACTGATCCTAGATGGGGCCCCCTGACAGACCCGACTCATCGGACCGCCAGGTAACTTTACAACTGTGTTCATGTTCGAGAACCTGTATGAGAACTGTTAGTTCTCCCTCCATAACCACTGCATCAGTTCACCCTGTGGACAGGTGTCTGCGGGAAGAATTTTATCGATTATCTCAGTCTTTCTACCGGGACATTGTAGGCCTATCCCTCTCAACATGGGTTGGGCCTGGCAGGCAGGCTCAAAGCCCACCTTTTGTATGACCGATTGTGTCGATGGGGTGTAAAAAATGCACCTACATTAAAAGAAATGTTTTTCTCTTGTGGCCCAGCATAACCACAGTAACAGTTCTCTTTGTAGCCCTGCATAAAAATAGTTTCTGCTCTATATTTGTGTCCCTGGTTATATCCGCTATGCCCCTTTTCTCTGCGGTCTGGTTGTATAATACATCCTTAACACCTAGTATTAATCCAGGACTGGAACAAGTTGTGATGGGGCAGGCTGTAAACAAGACTCTGAGCATGTCACACTTTTGAATGAGTAGACTTCCTGAGCACCCATTTTAGTTATTTTTTATGGGAGGATAGCTAAATTGATATAAAAAATAAATGAAAAAAATGCAATGCAGCAAGCTGATTAAGGAACAAGAAAACTTACGCAGTTGGCCCCTGACAGTATCACCGTCCACATCATTGGCCCTGGTATTGTTAGCAAACTCTTCGCTCTCCGTCAGGGCATAGTCAAAGATACAGGCATCCTGATCTTGGCCACATCTTGCAATTGATGCATTCAGAACATCATCAGGAATGTCTGACCTGAACATTGGTGTGAAATTTGGGAACTGGTAGTCTGCTGCTGTCTTGCCAGCTGGGTTTATGAAGATTGAGTCTTGTACATCAACAAGCCCTGAGATGAACAAAGGGGAAGTGTTTCTGTCATTTGTATTACAACAGTAACAGTGATGTCTATGAGAGAGGCACTCAGTTAATCAATGAACAGTTTTTCTCAAACTTTTTGAATTAAGAAAAATTATAAGACATTATTATTAGATCTGCTTGAACTGAAATGATTACTATCAAGTAGGTTATGTTCCTCAATTGCAAAGTGGTAATCAAATGGCTGGTTTTACAAGTGTATCTGGAATAATGTGTGTTGACCAGCTTACAAAAGTTAAAGTACAAATATGGGAGCACCCCGAAGTTATCACAATGCTGCCTTGCCAACAATCATGACATTTCAAATATATCTCTATTCCATCATTTTCTCCTGGATAAACCCTAGTCTGTTTAATTGAGTTGGGGGGGGGGGGTTTGTTACAGACCCTAACAGTGTTTTATATTTTAGGTTACAAGGTTAGGATGAGGGTTCATGTAAAGGTCAGGATTGAGTTTAGAATTAGATTTCGGGTTTTGGTTAGAGTTTCCATGTTATCAGAATTTGAAAACCATTTGGATTTTTAGACTTTTGGCTCACAAAATTTTGAAGTCAGCTCCATTAGTATACAATATCAAGTATCAATTCTAGCAGTATCTATTTTTGTTGGCTGCGCTGTGGTTGTCAAAGATAAAAGAACTAAGATAAATATGGCTCCTCCTCAGTCAATTCACAATTGCATCTCGACATTTAGAACCGAACCAAGTAAGAAGAAAATAAATAACACAACAAACTTAACCCTTTCATTGCTTGACCCAAAACCCTTGCTAGCTTTTTGCTTGAACTATGGAGCAAGTCTAGGTGTAGGAACACATTCCTATGTAAAAAAAAAATTAATGTTTACCACAATGCAGTTCTGTTTCTTTAGTAGGCATAAGAGTTTATCGGGGTTTTTTTACAGCTAATCTTTTTAACTTATTAAAACCAGTGTAGGGAGCCTAGTGGTTAGGTTACTGGACCTGTGATCATGAGAAGCGAGCTTAAGGGTTCAAACCTCAGTTCGGTCCAACATTGTATCCTTGGCAAAGACATTTTACACAAATTTCCTATTTGGCCCAGTTCCTTCAGAGGCGGTTTCTTTCTTCTAAACTTGGAGGTCCTGCTTTTTATATAACCTAATAGTGTTGAAAAGGGCATTAAACATACACCATATCACCATTTTCATTTTCATTAAACCCACGCAGCTGCTTACAGTGGCCAAAACTTCTTCCCCAAATGGAGGTCGAATGCTGCACACAGGATTTGAGTTTCTCATCTAAACAGCTATGAATGTAAATAAAACTTGGTACAAAGCCCCTCTAAGGGGCTAAGACTCTCCTTTGTCTTAGTGTTTATGTCCATTTTTTGTCTTGAGTCGAAGCACATGTTGTGAAAGTAGTAGAGCATCAGTCAAGTCGAGTTGTAAAATAAAAATAATTCAATCAAACTGAGGAAATCAATTCCAAGGTCAACAAGTTCAGATAACATGGAAGAATATTTCCCATACTGCCCACTATTACCACTGCCCCCCCTTGCCCTCTCATGCACCCCTGCCACTCCCTAGAAACTCATATAAACCCGTCATACTCCACATCTTCTACTCCACCACAACACAGCATCTCCATTCAGCCACTCCCCCTTCCTTCCCTCATTCTCACCCCTCCCCTTTTCCCTCATCCTCCTCAGCATCTAGGCTGCTTTCCCCTAGCTGATCTTAATTCTGCATATTTAGATATTTTATGTACTTACTATACTAAAAAGTAATCTAATTTTGTTGTGTTCAATTCTCCAAGGTCAAGTAGAGAAAGGAAAACAGAATAGTCTCTTCATGTTTACGGCAGCGCAGAGTTTTACAAACACAAAGGTCTTTTCCATGAGAACAGCTCATTGTCAATCAGTTCAAGATGGAAAAGCAACGAAACTTAACATTTTGCCTCCATGGGACGCCGATTAGCCAAAGGTAAGAAACCAACCCTTTCCCCCTGGGGACGCTGATCAGTGACTGTGTGATATAGCAACAGAAATGTGGTAGCAATGATCTCCTTTTTGACATGCTCACTAGTTAAATCTATAATTTCCTATCTGAATGGTTTGTGTGGCCTTTGAGATAAAAAATCAGTTTGTTCCCGACAATTGGAGTTAATTTTTTAGAAGAATGTTGAGTAGACCTGGCATGAGGGCTGCTTTATTCTTATGACATGATGAGAAGTCGGGTGACGAATGTGCTAGATCTTATGTTTTTAGTTCTGATTATAATTCCTTTTTTGTTTAGTGAACATGCGATCATCACATTAAATTTTTTCAATGCTGAAAATTTCAGAATGGTCGGTTTATTTTTGCCTGAGATACGAGTATAGTACTAATGTACTACATCTGCATCCTGGTCTGTGGGGACAAGTGTTGAGAGTGCTCCCGCAGCGCAGGTGGAAAGTGTTAACACCAAAATAGAGCAATGAACTTTCACGCCTAAAACTGAGATCTATGAAAAGAAAAAGGCATTATTCTGTTGAAAAAAATGTTAGCCTCTTTATCCATCACAACATAACTCCCATCAATTGCAACAACTATACAGCCGTGCCAAGGCAGACCGACGAATCAGCAAAAATTTTTGCATCTTCATTTAAATGGATGCCTCTACCCATTCTGCATCTTGTGTCAAAGGCAGGAAGACGTATCTGCACTACAAATAGGATATTTTACTATGACAAACAGACGTAACTGAAGGATGCCCATATTTCCAATGGAGGCGCGACGTAACTTAAAATCATAAAAAGTGCAGATATGTCGCTCCGCCTTGGCATGGCAGAATAACAAAGTCGAAACTGTCTAAGACAGCCACTCATTATAAAAGAGAAAAGTTGTTGTCTTAGACGGGTAGATGTCTTGACCAGAGTCATTATAACATAGAAAAACGGAAGGGGGGAAGTGGGTAGTGGTCATTTGAACAGGTGATTGACTTGGATAGGTGGCCATTAGAGCAGGTTTGACTGTTCCAAAGATAGTACATAACAAGATGGTCCACTCAGCAAAAAAAATGTCAGCCGGAAGTCCGCTCTTTGCTTCAGATGGCACTGCAGTCTGTTTTGAAGCTCTCTTTCGTTTCTCCAAAAGAAGAATAAAAATAGCACCTCCTTGTGTGCGCAGATCGACTGCTGTTCATCAGCTGTTCAGGTTCGCTCAGTGCGGAGTTTTAGGTATTTTTATTTTAATGACCTCTCGCCTTTCATTTTAAAGTAAAATTAAACAAAGAAAGCAGTCACCCCTTATTCCGGAAAAGGTTTTTAGTCAGCGTAACCATTTTAAAAAAGCGTTCTTCTGAAATTTGAATTTTTATCTTATATATTCAAACTTGTTAGTTTCACTTTGATTTTTTTAACACAAGTAGGGTAACTCTGTACGCAAAGGGTGCGCATTTGCGAAGAGGGCGGCACCGAAATTTGAGGACACTTTTTTATTTGGCTCAAAGAGAGGAGTGGACCTTCTTGTTATCTAGACTCTTTGACTGTACTAAACTCAAATGAGGCAATGTAATGAACACGTACAGGCCGATCCAAACTGCTCAAAGATGTCCTTCTCAGAAAGAGATGAACTCAGCACAGTGCCATTTGGTAGCTGGAAATCATTGTTAGGGTCTTCATCCAACGTGCCAAGAAGACCTGATGTCAATCCCCTCAGGATGTTTTTCTCCATGGTAATGCTAAGATCCAGGCTACGGATGCCTAAGCCAACAGTCACTCCCACGCCTGTCAAAGAAAAAGACAGATATATATTGCTGTAATGAAATACACATAAATCATGTCTGCAGTTGGTCCCACTTATAGCAGTCTCTGTTTTAACAGGATTTTGGCTAATGCAGGTAATAAAATCCCCAAGTCCAATCCCTTTTCACTCATTCGCTACGCCACGCCGTGGGCAGCGGCACGGCGAAAGTGTCTACCGTACACCAAGCCGCCCCCGGCGGCTCGAGAACCAACCTATGATTCTAGCTTTAATTTTATTTTAATCCACATATCCATGTTTAAATAAAGGTTATAATATAATATTGACTTCTGGGTCAAGCGTTTCCACCAAAAATCGGAAGTTTTCATTCAGTTTTGAATTGCAATTTCGAAGTTTACGTGACTTTGTTTTATCGTAATTCCCAAATTATAGCCCAGACACCAGTCTTAGTACTTTTTTTATTACAAAATGTATCATTATATTTCTCACTAAAGAAATGTAGGACTCTTTTTTAGAATATTGATTCAATTGGACTCAAATTGAAAGTGATCCATTATTGAGAAATCAATACTTTTCAGTTCTAGACCTAGGTCTAAATCTAAATTGTCAAAATATTTTTTGCTCCCCGAAATCACTACTTTTTGGTGAAATTACACAAAAGTACCTCTCAAGACATGTATAGATTTATTCCAAATGCAATTCAGAATAATTTCATATAAGATGCGAGTGTTTTTTTCTGTTTGTGAATCCATCTTGTCCTTTTTTCAAGATTATAATTTTTTTTTTTTAAATTTTCAATTTCGGATGCTATGATCAAAATGTGCAAATTTTATGGAATGTAGGTAAATAACTGCAAATTTTTCACTATTTTCCTTTTCTATATTCATTTACCTTATTTTGATGTATCATTTGACTAGGTGCTAACATATATTTTGAGTTTCACCAAAGATTATTAGTTTTATATTTAAAAATTTTATCCGCATCCAAGCAAAAATGTGTAACATGATCGCCTCCTACAGAAACCAAAGTTGAAAAATACACAAATAAACACAACAGATGTATTTAACAAACCATACTGGAATTTTTGGTATATAATATGTTGACATTTATTTGAATTTGTGGCCCCAAAGACCTTTGAACTGAGTACTAGTGACCGTCTCATTTCGCCCTCCCGCAAAAATTCGTCCAAAAGCCGAAATTAATACGTAGCGAATGATTAATGTATAGTTTTATTTAACTCATTTGCTACGCCAAGCCGTGGGGGGCGGCGCGGCTAAAGTGGCGTCAGTACGCTAAGCCGCCCCCGGCGGCTCGAGAACCGACGTTCAATTTTAGCTTGGTTTCTATTCCAATCCACAAATCCATGTTAAAATAAAAGTCATAATATAAAGTTGACTTCCGGGCCAAGCGTTTCCACCGAAAATCGGAAGTTTTGATTCACGATTTCGAAGTTTATGCGACATTGTTTTATCGCGAAACCCAAGTTATAGCCCAGACACCAGTCTTAGTACTTTTACACAACAAAATGTATCATTATTTTGCTCACTAAAGAAATGTAGGACTCTTCTTTATAATATTGATACAACTAGACTCAAATTGCCAGTGCACTGTAATTGAGAAATCAATATTTTTGAGTGCTAGATCTAGGCCTAGATCTAAATAGTCAAAATATTTTTTTTCTCCCCAAAATCACTACTTTTTGGTGAAATTACTCTAAAAGTACCACCCAAGACATGTATAGGTTTATTTCAAATGCAATTCTGAATAATTTCATATAAGATACAAGCGGTTTTTTCTGTTTGGGATCCTTTTTTCAAAATTATTTAAAAATTTAATTTTTTTCAATATCGGAGGTTATGATCCTAATGTACAAATATTATGGAATGTATGTAAATAACTGCTCATTTTTCAATATTTTCCTGTTCTATATACAGTTGTGGTTATTTTTATGTATAATTTGACTAGGTGCAAACATATTTTTTGAGTTTCATCTGAGATTATTAATTTTTTGTTTTCAAATTTTATCTGCAGCCAATCACAATTGTGTTGCATAATCGGGTCTTACAGGAACCAAAGTTGAAAAATACTCAGATAAACAATACAGATGTATTCTACAAACCATATTGAAAATGTTAGAAAAAAATTCGTCCACAAGCCGAAAATAATACGTAGCGAATGAGTTAAAGTTATTTTATAGCAGGCATTTAGATAGACATGCTCAGCTATAACAGTGGTCCAATCATTATCTCATTCGCTACGTATCATTTTCGGCTTGAGGACGAATTTTTTTCGGGAAGGCGAAATGAGATGATTACTAGTGTGCAGTTCAAAGGTCTCTCGGGGCCACAAATTCAAATAAATATTAACATATTATGCACCAAAATTTTCAGTATGATTTGCAGAATACATCTTTAATGTTTATTTGTGTATTTTTTAACTTTGGTTCATGTAAGAGGCGATTATGCAACACAATTCTTCTTGGATGCAGACAAAATTTGAAACTAAAAAATTAATCATCTTCGGTGAAACTAAAAAAAAAACGTTTGCACCTAGTCAAATAATACATCAAAATAACCATGAATATAGAACTGGAAAATATTGAAAATTTTGCAGTTAAATACGTTCCATAAAATTTGCACATTTGGATCATACAATCCGATATTGAAAAAAAAATTTTTTAATTTTATAATCTTGAAAAATGAACAAGATGCTTTCACAAACAGAAAAAAACACTCGTATCATATATGGAATTATTCAGAATAGTATTTCGAATAAACTTACACATGTCTTGAGTGGTATTTTTTGTGTAATTTCACCAAAAATAGTGATTTTTGAGAGAAAAAAAATAATTTGACAATTTATATCTTGATTTAGATCTAGATATTTAGCACTGAAAAATATTGATTTCTCAATAACAGAGCAATGGCAATTTGAGCTCAATTACATTTCTTTAGTGTGCAAAATAATGATACATTTTATTGTGTAAAAGTAGTAGGACTGGTGTCTGGGCTATAATTTGAGCAACGCAATAAAACAAAGTCGCATAAACTTCGAGACTGTTTCAAAACTGAATTGACTGAATCAAAACTTCCGATTTTCGGTGGAAACGCGGTGGAAATGGCAGCAAAGATAGTACATAACAAGATGGGCCACTCAGCAAAAAAAGTGTCCGCCGGAAGTTCGCTCTTTGCTTCAGATGGCGCTACAGTCTGTTTTGAAGCTCTCTTTCGTTTTTCCAGAAGAATAGGAATAGCACCTCCTTGCATACGCAGATCGACTGCTGTTCATCAGCAGTTCGGGTACGCTCAGTGCGGAGTTTTAGTTTTTTAAATATTTTAATGACCTCTCGCCTTTCATTCTAAAGTCAAATTAAACGAAGAAAACAATCACTCTATCCTCGGGAGGAGGTTTTTTGTCAGCGTAACCATTTTAAAAAAGCATTCTTCCGAAATTGATTCCAAAACTTGCTAGTTTCACTTTGACTTTTTTTAACCCAAGTAGGGTAACTCTGTTCGCAACGGGTACGCTTTTGCGAAGAGGGCGCCACCGAATTTTGAGGACACTTTTTTAATTGGCTCAAAGAGAGAAGTGGCCCCTCTTGTTATGTAGACTCTTTACCGGAAGTCAACACTATATTATGACCTTTATTTTAACATAGATATGTGGATTGGAAGATCGGTTCTTGAGCCGCCAGCAGCTAATTAGCATACTGACGGCACTTTAGCTGCGCCCCCCCCCCCCACGGCTCGGTATAGCGAGTGAGTTAACGAAGTCCTAAAACAAAAGAACAAGAAAAGCAAGGAAAAAAGGAAATAAAGTAAAAAGTCTTCATCCAACATTGCAAAGTGCAACTACTTAACTCACAGTAAGCCCAAGTTGATTTTTTTAACACATTTTATGATGTGTCATAACACGGGTGCCTGAGAGGGAGGGCAAAACTGGATGCATTGGATCTAGTCAATGACTTAGTGTGGCCTTGGTCTGGCACCATATCATCACATTGTCTCCCTTTAGGGTGGTGAGAATTGTAATGGGAATAACTGATTGAATGACAATGTAGGCACTGGATGCTAGATCTATTGTAGAGCCTTGTGTGTTCCTTTTCCCAACTGTGGCAACTATCCAAATATGAATAGTTGTAAATTTTACAGAGTATCCTGTAGAGCATGGATACACACTATATAAAGGCAGTTACTATTTTAAACCCATGTTATTCACAACAGTCTCCTAAAAATGTTTATTTAACTCACCTGCTGTGAATGCAGCTGATACTCTGGGTTTGCCAGACCGGTCCACTCTTGTCACATCAATGCCAGTCGTGGAGAAGGTGAATCCTACATCGGCATAAAAGTCTTCAGTACGGTCCTGCCCGTTGATGTAGATTATCAGTCCTAAGTGAGAGAAAGAGAAAAGTATAGAAAAATTCTTGCAAAAGCATGACAGGAAAAATTAAAATTGAAGCACAGAGGAGAAGGAGGCTGAAAGCGCATTTTATATTTTAGGAGCTGGTGTCCCTATCTATGAAATCACCAATGAATAAGTTCCGTTTGACAGTAAAGGGAGGAGTCAAAATAAAACTTTCAAAAAGTGATTCAAATCTGTTCTGTCAAAACTATAACAGTGTGAATATATGTGTAGTTTTGAGAACAAGCATGCATGCATGTGTGCGAGTGTCTGTGTGAATGTGTGTGTGTGTGTGTGTGTTTGTGTGTGTGTGTGTGAGTGTGTGTGTGTGTGTGTGAGAGTGTGTGTGTGAGAGAGTGTGTGAATGCTTTCAAATTAAAGTGCCTTTTTTAAAATCTAGTAGATACCCAAAAGTTCTACAGCTCTGTCATTCAAAGCCCATTCAGAGAAGTACATTTATTACTACGCTGCATGTGTGAATTTTATCTCTACGGTACACGTTATACGTGTTTAATAAAGGCTCGTTTTTATAAAGGAAGATCTACTTGTTTTGTTCTCTGACAGGTCCACTTGGAAGGTAGCTATGTTGTCATCTGCAGCTGCGATGGATGAGAAAACTGTTGCCCTAGCGGTGCTGCCGTCGTCCAGTGTTGCCAAAGCGGTTCTGCCCTGTAGAAAAATGTGGCTCCGTGTTACAGTTTTAATGATGTATATACACTGTTCAAATTATATGGAAATTTACTGGTTGTTTAAGAAAACATACTGTCTCCACATATGCTCATTGCAGGTTCAAATTGGGCCAATCAATTTCTTTGCTTCCTCTTGGAGCATTACATGGAGCTAGAACTCCACCTATGCCCTTCTGAAGTTCTTATGTGATGCTCTTTTATTTGTAGAGAGGTTTCATTTGTAAACACCCAATCGTCCCTCTGCACCACATTTTGACACCCCCCCCCTTCCCCCCAACAATAACTTCTACCAAAATGTTTAATCCGTGGACTTGAATAGTATCCTAGACTGGGCTCTGTCATGGCAGGAACTCTCAGTTCTTCATAAAAGTTTGCTGCGTTAGTCGCACCGTGGGTGCACAAATGAAAGGCTAAACACCAGTCTTGTTATAGTCGGAAGCAAATGCAAACCTTCTCTCCTTGCCCTATATTCGGTCCCAAATAGAGATGCACTTCATGGCAAACTGTAATTATCCGAGAGTGCAAATGCGTAAACTTTAGAACTTAACATTTGTAACTAAGTCTTACTGGAAGCACTGTATGCTTCTTTTGGGAATGAAATCTAGAGGCAGAACTCAGGTGTATAGGGCACAGATTGCCCTCATCAGAGACAGGTGAAGATCCCTTCTTGGTCGCCTAAACCTAATACTAGGACATAAGATGCAAATGAATTGTATGCATTTATAATTATGGCAGATATTTAGGCCAGTTTTGTTTGTTTGTCTTTTTCATTGTTTTGACTAGCTTTTGGGAATTGCTGTAGTTTTTCATTCATAATTTGATCACATGGCATTCAAAATGAAAAATAACAAGTATAACCAAATAAACAAAAGGCCATACAGCAAGGAGAAACAAACCTGAAGATCAAAGTTACGACTTGGGATTCTTGCCAGGAAGTACTCCCCGAGCCCATTGAACGAGTACTTTTTGCCATCCATGGTGGTGAGGTGAGGATCTCCAATGGCAATGCCTGAAACAGAAGGTTACTATTTCCTTAAAGTTAATTCTACACGCTGTGCATAACCTGGTTGTGAACATCCGTTCATATTCAAAACCATGTAGGCCTACAAGGTCACTTGATAGGTTTGCTATTTCATAATTGACCATTACCATTTTGCCCAATCATAAGCAAAAGACATACAGTGCAGTGTACATTATCCAGTAGGCCTACATCACTTTTCCGGACTGAGACCCCAATCTGAATCTGTGTAAGTGTAAGAACCAAATGGAATTGAAAGGTAGCGAAGTCCATCAAAATGTCTTAGTTAACCCCTTTCATAACCAGGATATCACCCAAAGCTGTATTTCAGCCACACATAACAAAAAGTTTTGTAGTCTTATTTGTATTTGTATTTGTCCACTGTGTTGGGGTTACTGCAGTCGGAACATGTCCATCTCTGCTCTCCCCCTCTCTTCAGGATCCATCCCAGAGTCTGTCTACTTATGGTTTCCATCATGATCTGGTTGGAGATCTGGCCAATAGGGTCAGGGCTTTTGAGCTCTTTTGAACCTTGGAGCCCTTACTGACCCGTAAGGTTTTTCCATAAATAAAAGACCTTCAAATTTGCACGTCTCATAAGTGTCTCTCCTTAACATAAAAAATACAGTAAATTAGAAACGTTTTTAATCTAATCAATACAATGATAAATAACTAAGAACTAATCCATTATTGTAAAACACTGGCCAATAGGGTCAGGGCTTTTGAGCTTTTTTGAACCTTGGAGCCCTTACTGACCCCTTAGATTTTTCCATAAATAAAAGACCTTCAAATTTGCACGTAAATCTAAATCTATTTCTACTCTCAATTTTAGTATGAGATTCATTACCATTAATAATGACGGCAGTGGGGGTGCATGTCGAACTTGGCCTCACTGAGTAGAAGAGTTTACATGACTCCTCATGCTGTGAATCTAGACAGCACAGCTTGTGCGGGTTCCTGTCATACTTTGCATAATCCCGAGCAGATTCCGAAAAGGAGAATGGGTTGTACAATGTGACAAATCCAGCGTCTGGGCGCTCTGAGATAAACGTGATCTCTGTTCTGCTTGTCCTCCAAAATGTGAATTCACTGGGCATTCGGTAGCAACATATCTGGGAATAGAAAACACTAAAAGTCAGCTCCTGTTTGATTACTAACGAGAGACTTATGATCATCATCACCATCATATCTGTGATCTTCAAAGGTATACAATCAAAATCAAATAAAACAAAAAATATTTTAAATTTCAAAGGAATCTTTTTATTGTTGGTCTTAACAACCTAATTTTCCTCACTCCAGCCAGGTGGGCATGGATACCCAGCCAAAGAAAGTGAAAGATGTCAATTTAATTGTTGGTATGTGTAATTCGCAGCTTACACTGTATGCTTCCCGGGAAGCTGAAAATATTTCTGACTCTGAGTGTTCCAGGGTCTGTTGAGGTAACAAAAGTTGCAAAGCCCATACAGCAAATACAATTATTATTATTATCATCATTATTATTATTACTATTATTATCATTATCATTATTATCATTCTCACTATAATCATCATTATAAAAACTATTATTATTATTACATCCATGCCTTGGTTCCACAATACTCATTACCAGATAGTTGAACAGGCTCTACTTAGAGCCTCAAACAACTAAATCGTCAATTACAATGTCAATGTCAATGTCAATAAAGACCTCATCAGTACAGGGAAAAGCACCTACCCTATTCCTGGTATGGCCAAAGAATCTTGTTACAATATTGTTAAGAGCAAAACATATCTTTGTGCCACTTCGAGACAACTGCTGCCACTGCTGACCCATCTGGGTGAGACTGCATGGGCAATTGAGCATACCTGAAATGACAGGATCGAGGGAAAAGAGGTTACTTATAACAATAACAATGTTTTAAGTATGACAACTGTTGCCATATACTAAGGAAAGCTGAGAATCGAGAGGAGCAGAAGAAGCTGGCTGTAAAATCTATAGTAGTGCCCCAACGGTCACTCTGACTACAAGATAGGTAAAGGTACAGGTAAAAGGTTACCAAAGTCACTATGGCTATATCAAATGCCGTTATTTCATGAATCTTCTTTCATGTGTTTTATGTGCTTCACACATAATATTGTAATAAGTCATTCACTAATGTCTCTTAAAGAACAGGTCTGCCTGAAACATTGGATGTGTATTCCTTATGCCGAATCTTTAAAAAAATGTTTTTAGAGACTTAGAATAAGCTATTTTGTGATCTCTCAAAAGATTTAGCCTCTTGCTTACAAGGTTTGATTCAAGAGTTTGCTTCATTGGGGTATGAATGGTTGCATGTATTGTGTCTGTAAAATACAGCTGACAACTGTGTCCATCTCTGTTTTAAATATATATGTAACCGCTACACACAAGTCTGGAGTCAGATCGGAGAATTATATGAATTTTTCAAATTCTTTCAGGAACTTGCTCTGTAGGTCTTTAGACATAATTTGTCTAAATGAAGTTGGCACCATGTTTGGAACATTGATCATTCCAGAACTGTTTCTGTAAAATAAACACATTTTCATGACTCTTCTTGCTAGTGATTGTGCAAAATACGGATACTTTTTTTTAAAAGTAAGAGTTTTACGGCACTTGCAACACAATAAGGTCATATAAGTTCCAAAGATTAGAGTGGTTACAAAGGAGTAACAAACACAAAAAAGAAGGAGGGGAGATCAGGACGATAGATGTTTAATAGGAAAGAGGAGTAAACCACTCCAGAGCACCCGCCAACCACCCACTTTGATACTTTTATGAGGCACAGCTTTCAGCTGGAGCTTGAAGTATGTACAACAAACAGTGAAGCATTGACATTTGTGGTGTAGCAGCAACACACTTTGCTGTTGCATGCAGGAGACCAGGGTTCAATTCCCAAGTGGATAGAATGTTTATCGAGCTTCTAAATCTTTCTTTAGGGATTTACCACTACACAGTTCTGTTTTTAAAAAAATAATTGTAAGAGTTCATAGGGTTTTTATTTACAGATGTTCTTTTTAAATCATTAAAACTGGTGGTGTAGGGAGCATAATGATTAAGTTACAGGACCTGTAATCTCAGCCAGGGCTGACCCTGACAAGCAGGGTCGGAAGCCCCCCTCCAAAACTATCTAAATTTTGTTGATGGGGATATAAAACACACCCACACGAAAAAAAAAAGACAGGAAAGCTGGGGGAGGACTGAATTAGACTTGACTGAATCAAAGAGACCATACAAGGGCTAAAACGTTGCAAAATTGTTATCATGTCAACCCATTCATCTGCGTTGTCATGGTGCTATGAAGTGGAAAATATAATAATTTATGAGCTGAAAAAATCTGGGACCTGGAGCTCACAAGAATGTACGAAAACAGCATAAATGCTGTATATTTGAGAAAAGTGGCAATGTCAGCCGCTGACAAACATGAAACAAAGACAAAGGGCCCCAAGAAGTAGGAAAAATGGTTACCTACATAAAAATAGTTGCACTGCAGGTTGAAGAACCAGCTGTTGAGTTTCTTCTGAGATTTAGCAGGGGAACTCAAAAGCAAAAGATTTTTAAAAAACATTTCAAACACAGCCCCACTAGACAAAGTAAGTTAATCCTTATTAGTACTCACAAAAACCTCTGCAGTGAAAATATAGAATGAATTAAATGATGTTTCACCATTAGCTTGTTCCTGAAATGTTCTGTCAGATAAGAGGTATGCATTCTCAAGGTAGAAATTTTCACACTTTTGCACTTGGTTCACAAAGTTTCCAAGCTTGAACATCCATGTGCCATGGCGACCTGCAAGAGGAAGTATGTTTTGTTTAATAAGAGTTGTAAGGCACTTGCAAAACAGATCATAAAAGTGCCGAAGATTAGAAATGTTAAAAGAGAGTAACAAACACAAAAAAGGAGGAGCAGACATCAGGATGATAGTGATAGAACAAACCGCACCAGAGCACTCGCTCACCACTCCAAAGAGAAAGTATAAAAGTTAACTGAAGATTACAACAGCTGATGAGACACAGCGCTCATTAAGAAGTTTGAAATTTCATGTAAGGATATAGAGCCTTTTTTACACCACAAGGAATCTCCAAAATTAACTTCCATCTCCATTAAGACTAAGCCATGAAGGTAGAAAGTCCCACCGAGGATCCAAACTAACGTCATTCCCTCTTAAAATCAGTGTGATTTTACGAGGCTTTACAACAAGCAGCCAAAAATGTTTTGCCTTGATGTTTCCCTTAACTTGAAGATGATAACAACAGTGAGTCAAGTTCCAGGTTAAAATAATATAAGAAAAGCAGGTTTATTACAAAAGCTGAAAGAATAGCTTTAAAACTGTGGGGAAACAGGGATGGTGCCCCCTTCATTACAAATTATCTAAGACAGTGCACTAACATGGCCTCCGCTTTTTGCTTTCCATAAAACATGGCTGCATACACACCAAAGTGCCCCAGTGAAGGGGAAAATACCTGTTTGGCAAACTTCAAGCGCACTTGGCACCTTTGCCTCCCTTTTCCCTCCAAGTTGAGTCAAATGATGATTTTCATTGTGAACAGGAATTAGAGCAGAATGCATAGTCTGGGATATTTTAAATAAAGTCTATAGTCCATTTATAAACATGCTTAGTCTTAGTTTTAGGAAGAGTTTCAATATACAAACATACAAAATCTTCTTTAACAGAGATATTAAGTAGGTGACATAAATGAGTGAGTTACAAAACATGACCAGCTGGAAAGTATAATTCTAATTTAGATTTAAACTTATTTTCACCCACATTCCAAACCAAACACCCCGGCCCGGCTATCTAAGTAGTGCCTACCTGAACAACAGCAGGTAAACACATATGGTCAGTAAAGTTATCAAAATACAGATCTCAAGCACCAAATGCATGACACACGCATACACATACACACAGACACACACACACACATATACATACATACACACACACACACACACACACACACACACACACACACACACACACATACACACACTCAAACAAACACACACAAACACGCACATGCACATACACACACACACAAACATCTCTTAAGTTCATAACGGAAACTGCCCTGAGTCAGGAGCCTCCTACACCCTAATACATGTAGGTACTTCAACAATGTGAAATGTGTTGTTCAAAATAGCATAAGACTTCCAACACCATAGTGCAACAACTTTATTGTCATCATGTCTTTCTCAAACAACCTAAAAAAAATTTGCGCTTAAAGTGGGATCGTTTTTTAAAATAACAGTTTTATGGCACTTGGTAGATTTAAGGTGCTACAAGAAAGTAAAAAGCACAAAAAAGAAGAAAGGGAGATAGGGATGATAGATGTTTGATAGGACAGAAGGAGTAAACTACACCAGAGTACCCGCCAACCGCCCAAGAAACTAGATAAAATTCAAGCCCACCTGTATTTCCAACCATATCACCCAGGAGCTCAACAAGGTAGCTGTTGGGTTGAACAACATGCAATCCACCCTTGTCAGTGAAGAAACCGGACACAACGCGCTGGCCTTTGATGTACTGCCAGTTGAACGAGTCTGATTTGTACAAAAATAGCACGTACGATGTCTGTCCATCACTGATGATGACAACTTGAAACGTAGAGAGAGCATCTGCACCCTAAGATGAAGAGAAACAACATAAAAGATTGTAAATATTGTAAATGTAGGTTTTAACTACTCCTTCCCCTCCAAAAAAATGAGAAACTATACAAGGAGGAAAATGGAAATACCGGTACTCTGACAAAATAAACTTCCAAACAAAGGAATCAAACTCATCTATTTTGCGATGAAGAAATTCTTTAGATTATTTTGGAGGCTAGCTTCTTTGATCAGGATAAAAGAGATACAGCATCCCAGCAGATAGTTAGAGATACTCTGTAAGATAATTTCCCCACTCTGGAATTGAACTCATGTCTTCTGCGTGCAACAACAAAGAATCTAACCATTACATCAGAGGAGCTGGTCAAGAACAACAGGAACTCAGTATGGGTTTGCTGTTCATATAACTGTGCAGACACTCATAGTATAATAAAAACTCACAAGAAAAAGTAACCTGAGGAATAAGTAAAGTGTTTGTTTGATTTTATGGGTCAAGAAAAGCACATCGACACAATAATGGTCATTTAGTACTTGGAAAAAGTAACAGACCGACAGAAACAACAGTGGGTAAAGTAAAGATGTAGGACCTACCGGTTATGCCCTCAAACTACCCACAAGGTAAGGTAAGTAAAGCAAAAGAACTTCATAAAAGAAATAGTCAATTTTCTTGACATTTTGGAGTGTTCAAAATCTGCATTTTTAGATCAAAAGAAAGTAGTAAATGTATAAATTTGCTAACATACATCCATTGGCAGTAAAAGTAAACCTGAGCCCTTCGTTTGAAATTTAATATTGTGGGCACATCGGGGGTTCTCCACTCTCTATGAGGCTAAAATAGGGTTGTTTTGACTTTGTGCACGAAAGATGCTTTGAATCTATTTTAAGAAAGAGTAGTGTTGAAATTTACTCCCCCCCCCCCCCCAAAAAAAAAAGGTAAAAAAATTCCAGGATAAAGTGTGTGCGTACCTGATGAAAGGTACCATAAAACCCATTTGTTTGAACTGAGATAGACTCCAAAAAAAAAAGGTTAAAAAATCAGGTGTAAATCCTACTCACAGGTATTCACAACCACACACACTGGTGCATCCAAATAGTTTTTAAAAAATAATAAAATAGTAATTGAGATACTTTCAGGCACACAATCAATGCATGATTGAGTAAAATAATGGCACCAATTTGCTGCACAATGCCCCTAGATGAGCAGCAATGACTTGACTAAATCAGGGTAGAAAAAAAGCAAAGGAATTTGTTTCCTCTCTCCAGACAAAGTATCTTCTACTGGCAATCAACAGGTCATTCTGTAAAGATTAAAGCGTTTGCAACTATAATATTTTATAATGAAGAAGTTGAGATTTTGATAAACCCAAACATAAAAAAAAAAAATTTTCATAAAGCTCCCAATTCTTCTAAATGTCACTTAGCCCCCACCACAGTTTAGACAATTTTTGAGTCAACTTTACCTGAATGAGATACATTATCCAAGGAGAAAAATTGAAATCAAACTCATGTCTTTTTGGAGCAATAACGAAGAATGTTTTCATTCATTCCACCACAGATGCTATTCACTAGGAATTTTAGTATAACTTTTAAATAACAGACAAACAAAGATTATACAATTACCTTTCATTGAGTTTTATAATGACTTTT